AAAAAAAAAAAAAAAGACCAGTGAGCATTTTTATCAATATGAAGTCTTTAAGGGGGTATTTATAATTTCAAAAGATAATTCATTCTACTTATAATCATTCGAAATTCCCAATAAAACCAAAACTATGGGAGAAACATATTTCGTAAAGTCTTCCACCATTACCTTTAACTTCAGATATCGACACAAGCCGGGCATGCGAATGAAGCAGCTGTCTTAGAGTCTTTGAATGGCACTTATCGATACATTGTGCCCAAACATTACCCAACATCTTGGAATTACCACATCTCAAACCCGTCCTCCGTATTTTGCCCTCATTTTGTGAGACCATTGACGGCTCATCACCCCCATGGGCTTCGATTCGGCTAGTGTCCAGTTCAAAACCAGAATTATTATTATTATTAATATTATTATTGTTGTTTAATGGGTTGGTGCTCGTTGAAATACGGTGAGCAGATTTTACACTTGTGTGGTCCTCGTCAGTTGCCTTTGAGCTCTGACGCCGGCTGCTGCCTGAGTGGGTGCGATCGGATGAGGGAAAGGAGCCCAACTGCAGTAGAGTGGCTGTGAACCATGTCGATCGCTCAGACGACACACGGAGATGCTTCTCCGCCTCTGAGAGAAGGCTCAACGCGTGCTTCAGCCGCTCTATTTCCCGTTCTGACACTGATACATACAATCAGTTAAATATGGAATAGTATGAAGGACATAAGCTACAATATGGAATAATATGAAAGACATAAGCTACAATATGGAATAATATGGACGACCATAAATAATAATAAAGGGGTAAAACGTGAGATTTACGGTTTCTTCCACCAAGGAAAGAATCATGGTGGTAAGTTCCAGCAATAATATCCACAATAAGGGTTGCCATTTGAGACATCAAAACTATTGGATCCACTCCCGAATCCATCAATTCTCGGGCTCGTATCACTGTCTCTGTCGCATTTGACGACATGGCTAATTCCAATAGCTCCAACAACTTTTCGTCAGAAACAACACCAATCTACATAGAAAAGCTCATATTACTCAGCACGATCCATCGATTATTATCAACAGTACACTAACGAGGGAAATAAAGATAAAGTTCTAAAACGCACATTCACGTGGTCAATTACATAAATGATATTTATCCAGTTTGATATTTTTGTCACATGACTAATTTTCAGGAATAATTCCAAAAGAGCCGTTGATGATTGTTTTTTCACAAGACAGGCTTCAACAGAGAGTTATAGTTATACAGTTAGCAGGTAGTTATAAATTATAATCTCCAAAATATACTTCAATAGATGTATAATTAAACTAAATCTCAAGGCGATTCCCTCATTCATGTTCCATGGAAAACAGGACAAAATATAACATTTGCAAGCTACAAAACACAAGATCACACTGAAACAGCACATGCGAACAAATAACAGGAGAACAATAACATTTGCAAGTTACAGAACACAAGTTCACCATAAAGCAACACATGCAAGCATATTATTAAATTCAACAATATCTATAGCAATAGAAGTTCGCTTAAAACTCACCAGCTCGTTCACCAAGGAGATGCTAATCCTCTTCCCAAACAAACTCAACTGGTCCAACATGGTCTCTGCGTCTCTCAACGAGCCATCCGCATTCACGGCAATCATATCCAACGCCTCACAATCGACATCCAAATTCTCCTCATCCCCAATCTTCCTAAGCCGAGCCACAATATCCCCACAGCCAATCTTACTAAAAAGATGCCTCTGACATCTGGAAAGCACAGCACGCGGCATGTTATCCACGTCATTCGTGACAAGAACAAATACAATATGCGGCAAAGGTTTTTCTAGAAGCCTGAGGAAAGCCAGCCACATCCTTGAGGGCAACAGGTGGCACTCATCGACCACGAAAACCATGAACTCCGAAATTAGTGACCGCTCACGACCAACTAATAGACTTTTCAAGAGATTCTTGATTTTGTCAATTCCCATTTTAGTCGACCCATCAGCTTCCACAAGACGAGTGCTCTTTCCAGTTACAAAATCAGCACACTCCCTGCAGACCCCACACGGCTTGTTATTCTCCTCAGATGCAAGGCAATTTATGGCTGCAGCAAAGATTCTAGCCGCCGAGGATTTCCCTGTCCCGCGTGGGCCTTGGAAGAGATACACAGGTGCCACCCTTTTTCTCGAGATAGCATTCTTCAGAGACTGGACAACTAGATTCTGACCAATCAACTCCTCGAAAAACATCGGCCGGTATTTATGGCTCAAGCTCCTTATATTCTCGGGCGAGCTCTCTTCGTGCACGTCGCCATTAAAAGCGACTATCTCCAAACCCTCTTGGCTCCTACAACTCGAGGACCATCTCCTCCCATCCAAACGACTCAATGCCTCCAAGTCGAGTTCCCAAAGATTCATCGACAACTCGTCATCACTACCGACAGATGACGACCCTCTCTGACCATTGTTCGTGAGGAGTGGGACCAGACTTTGGCCGGATCTCCTCTTGTTTGAGTGGCGTCTCAGTTGATGCATAGACTGGGCCCCACAGAAAATGCTACTCCCCTTCCTTCGTAAAGTGTCGGAAAGAGAAGGGGAACAGGAGCTTCCATAGCCAGCCCTTGACTTTGGGGTTGACCTTCTCGACCAGTTATAGCAAGGGATCCCGCACCCCTGACGACCAGGCAAATCCAATTGGTCTTCCACCTCATCATCGGCAAACGAGCCAGTGGTCCCATCCCACGACTCGACCAAGCTTGGGTTCTGAGGCCCGTAGTTGTTGTGATGGCGGGAACCCGTGGATAGTGCTGGTGTACTATAATCGTCTTCTTTTCTGTGATGGCTCTTTGATAAGATCTTAGTTGCCGGGTGGGCCCGGGCACCATTATTCTTGAATCTTGCAAGCAATGGGGAATTACAGAAATCCTCGGCATCATCCGATTGGTCAACCAAGCTGACCAAATCATCTCTCCTTAAAAAGGCATGTTTTGTGTGCCTGTCCAATAAGATCTGCTTCGGCAGTTTTTCGTTATGGTGCCTTAAAACTGCACCCGGACTGTAGCTAATCCTTCTAGACTTCTTCTTGATAGTGCGCATGATGGAAGGCGTGAAGTCTGTATTTTTACACCTAAAGATGCGCGGAGCATTATTCCTTGCATCACTCGAGCTATCAACATCGAGGCTAGCCGAACAAGACCCTCCTCCGTCCTTGCTGTTAACCTCGACATCGTCAGCGTCATTATTACCGTCATCCTCATCGTCATCACAAATCTGCTTGCTTTTCTCACTCTCGGATTTCTGGCTCTTCCAGTTGTACAAAAAGACTTTCTTTTCTCTTTCTTTAGAACCCACATTGCCCTTGTCACTGGAAAGGGCACCAGCGCCACTGGCAAGATTATTAGCATTACTTTGGACATTATGTTCGGATGAAGAAATGATTTCATTACCTTCAGTGTGTCCGCTTTTGTGGTGATGCACGTAATGGTGTTTTGTAAGAGATCTTGCAGAGTGGAGAGGCGACCGCCAAGATGAGGACGTGCCCGGGTCTCTCAAAACCCTCGCAGCTTTTCGTATCTGCGTCAACTCTTTCTTCAAGTGGAGGTTACTCGGATCAATGTTACCGCCGGCGGCGGCGGCGGCGGCGGCGGAGGCGACCTCCATTCCTCCGCCGCGCCCCCCACCGCCAACACCTCCCATATCCACCGACATCCTCTCGGGAAAATGATTAAGACAGTGAGAGTTGGAGAAAACAAATGGGTTTCTGTCTTTTCCTATAAAGAACTGAACTTTAGATCTGAACGGAGGTAAATTGAAAATCTCTCTACCAGTCTACCGCCATTAATAAGGTGTGGGCTGAAATTAAGAATGCACAGCTAAAACCTCGAAATCTAGCTCATAGACAGTGTCTGCTTTGAAGGGGCAAATTTGGGGTAGGGTTTAAACTCCAAAGAAATAGCGAAAATAAAGTGAAAAAAATGAAAAAAAAAAAA